AAAGTGTTGGCCTCTTTAATTTTCCCAAAGCTTATTGTGTTTACCTGCAGACAGGAAGACTAGCAATTTATAATCTTTCTTTACAATAAATATATAGCATTGATGCTTCCTGACAAGAAAACTGTACATGGTAAAATGTTAAGTTTATCATTTGAGCCAAGAAAAATCTTATTTAGACCAAAGTTTGTCTTTTTCACATCATGTTTTGTGTTTATATGAAAACAGATGGGATCTATAGCACTGTGAAAAGCACTGTGATGTCCTGTGAAAATGCTGGTGGGTGTGTCTCTGGAACCTGCATACACGATCTCTGGGAGATCAGCAGCTGGCCACTGCATCATTGTGATGACTGCAATAGTATTACAGTTCTCCCACCTACACTTTCAGACAACTTTGGCATACTAGCATATCTGTTTCTTTCCTTGTGTGGAGAAACTCTCTACCTCTCCCTCCTCTCTCCCTCTCTCCAACCATGTTCAGCTCACTGCTCTCACCTCATACAAAGATTAATCCCTGATCTTCCTGTCTTGATAACATACTTTTATGACAGGCTCCTATAGTACTGTTTACCTCTTTCACAGTATAAACAATATGTCACCAAAATATTTTGTATCTTTTTTTTCTTTTATCTTTTTGGATGTGGTTTTATTTTGTTTCTTAGTTTTGATGCTGTATTGGATTTTTATTTTTATTTATTTATTTTTTTGAGAAAACTTAAAGTTGGGTGGATAGTGGAAGGGGGGGATCTGGAGGGACTTGGGGGAGGGGAAATATGATCAAAATATATTTGAATTTGAGAATTGTTTTAAATAATGAAAAATGTATTAATAATAATGAGTTTAAAATATCTCTTAAGTAGAGACTGCTTCGTGTTTACTCCCCATACAATTAACATATGCTGATTAAACCAATCCAATTGATGGTATCTTAGTGATTATATCATTCTTATTCCTCTAATGTTAAAGCTGAAGTTTAATGGATAATAGTTGTAATGGATTCATTGTTTATTTTTCTAATATCTAGATAAAACAAGCCTATGTCACAGACTCGGATGCATGGGTTTCCTTGATTTTTTTCCACCTTCCTTCATATCTCACACCACATGACATCATCAAAGCCATTCTTGGTATTTAATATGAGGAACCTGAAGCCAAACCTCAACATGAGAGTTTTACTTCTGAGCAATGTCACACTGTGATCTTGACAATCATTCAAAGACTTAGGCTTCTGTAGAGTTGACATGCTGCAACCAAGGAACAAGGTGAGATTTACACAGTGGCCAAGGAAATCAAATAGCCGATTGAATAGCTGGTGATGATCAAATATTGATTGAGCACCCCTGTATACTTGTAGAGATAAATGAATGGATCCAATAGGTATCTATGTGCTCTTCAAGAGACTTGAAATTTCATTTAAGCAATATTATCCATTTTTTAAAAATTCTTCATTTTAAAATAGCAAGTGTATTAGTATTTGATACAAAGTATTACTGTTTTACTCTGAAATTTTAGAAATCCTTTAAGGTAATGTTTTTTGCAAATGCTTTACATTCCTGGTTTTGAAAGTTCAAGGATTCTTTTTTTTTTTTTTTTTTTTTTAAGTTCAAGGATTCTATTCAGACTGGAAACAAATACAACAGTCCAAGCCCCCCTGAAGCTAATGTCATCATCATATTCTGAAACACCACCAACCTTTCCTGTGTCTTTAAATTACCACTATCTTTAAATTAAAATTGATTACTCTCATGGAAGGGAATCTACCCCCCACTTCATAATAATAAGTGATGATATGTTCTTTTAATTGTGTTTGCTGATCTAAATGTTCGCTTCCCTTTCATAATCATCTTTGTATATTTTCAGGGTAAATGCTGGAGGGACTCCAGTTTGAAGTGTTAAATTATCAAGTGAAATTATAAGAGCAATTTATAAGAGATAGCTGAAAATTAAAATACAAAAACCGCTTAAGGTAAAATGCATAAGGGGACTCTAGCTGTCATCCTGAGACCCCATGGAACAGATGGAAGTGACTCTCAGGCTTCTGCCTGCTACCTGCTGTTTAATTATACCCTAATTAATTAAAGCAAAGACTCCTGTGTGGTTTCACTAGGAGTGAGCAGGAGGGCAGTCAGAGAGAGACACTTCAATTCAAAAGACTTCCAAATTAAGGCTAATAAGCTCAGGAAGGCAAATTCCACCCACCCATTGTGGTCATTTTAGGAAAACAGCCATCACAAAAGGTGGGCTACCTTAACACAACACAAAGACAAGGGAATAGAGGCTTTGCCCACATGTTATTACTTTTCTAGGGATTATTAACAAAAAAAATAGGTTCCAGGATTGTTGCAACATGCAGAAAGCTAAATTCAATGTATGTTTGCTTGTGGTTAAAAATCAATTCTCACATTATGCTTCTTATGAAACATGACTAACCCATTGAACTTCTAAGTTGAAGTTTTAGCAAGTTAATCTAGGCTGGGAAAACTTCTTACAAAAATATCAGTTAAAATGGGACATGCCACAATGAATAGAAGAGCAGCAGGGAGGCACAGTGTTAAACGTGATGCTCAATCACAGCCTCTAGCCTGGTTGTTGACATTCTGTGTATGTGTGTTTTCATGGATGTACACTTGTTCCTGTGGCCATGTTTTATTTCTTCCATTATTAGTCATTACAACAATAAGAACCTTCTTGATTACATAATAGAGGAAAGACAGTAAGGCATGTTTTGTTTGTTTGTTTCTTTTTTCTTTTTTTTTTTAGAAAACCAACTCAGGAAAATAAAGAACATTTCCATAGCATGCTTCTGGTAGGGCTGTATAAATATTTACATATATATTTGAGGTGACGTCCATAGCTAGAGAAATCTTTGAGCATGGCACTTTTGTTAGGATTAGTCATGTGTCCAGAAACTGTCATGTTTTCTGAAAACTTCGGATGATAGTCTTTTGTTTTCTTATTTCCTAACTGATTGAAAGGAATTTTTAGAGTCATAAGAAATTCTATCCCGAATATTGTTCAGTCTAGTTCTGGTATTATGTCAAAGTAATCAGCAACATACTAGCACATATATTAGATCTGGGTCTCCAGTAGGCATGCACGCAATAAGTGAAGTATTTGAAGTATTTGAAGTACAGTTGTTAGTATTAAAAGGATTATTTGAGAAATCCATTAATATCAATATAAGTTACTGGTACTATTAGTTATTTAATTAGATGGAACCCCAGGGTCGCTCCAGTCTTGTATTAAAGTCTAGAAAGAAGTTAACATTTACACTTGTTTACTTGGAAACTAAATAAATAATGTGTTGTTAGTCAGTGCTGGTTATTCTGTATGTGGAGTATTACTCAGAACACGAGAATATGGGCTCAGAAATCCATCAGTTACCTTCATGTTTGGACAGCGTTGTGCCTGAGCACCATGTGAGACACTGTATGATACACATAGCTACAGTTCTTTGAGCCTGTTCTCTAGTGGGCTGATAGTGTCTTGTGCTTTGGCTTTAAATAGTGAAAATAAGCAGCATATGTTAGAAAAATGCCAGATTAAGACCACCAGAAAGCAGTAGACAATTAAATGCTAATTTACTTATAAAAGGTGATATGGGTATATTCAGATAATTAACCATACTCTTTGTCTTATAGAATATTTTTTATTGTCTCCTTTCACTGCATTAATGAAATTTCAAGGGATGGCCTAGAAGGAGCTCAGAGTGACAACCTTTTGAATAAATATATCACTGATGCAGAAATAATACATGGGTAGAGATGAAGCACATTTACCCCCTTCCCAAGCAAGAGTCCAATACAGTATTTATTATCAGAAAATGTGATAGTAATGACCACATGCAAATGAATACCCACATGTTCTAATAAAATGTTTTCCAATAGCAAGGCAGGAGAAAGGATAGGCAGGGCTGGCAGGCAGAGAGAATATACAGAATATATAGAAGGAGAAATCTGGGAGGAGAAAAAAAAAGCCAGAGAAGGAGGAGGACTCCAGGGGCTAGCCACCCAGCTACACAGCAAGCCATGAAATAAGAGTAAGTTTTACAAAAGTAAGAGAATGTGAAAAGCCCAGAGGCAAAAGATAGATGGGCTAAGTTAAGAAAAGCTGGCTAGAAAAAAGCAAACTAAGGCCAGGCATTTATAATTAAGTATAAACCTCTGTGTGTGATTTATTTGGGAGCTGGGTAGTACCCCCTGCCCCTCAAAAAGAGTAAAAAACAACGATAACAAGAAATCATCTTTAGGTCTCCCCAAATGTCATTTTTAATGTCTTTCTCCCCAAATCTCATTATTAATATCTTTATCTTGTATTAGTCCAGGTCAGAGTATCTTAACTATCTTCCGTAGATCAGCATGGGCAGCTCCTCTGTAGCTTGAAGTGTTCAATCATTTCAGGGGATAAACTGATCACTTTTCACTCGGGAGTCTACCTTCAATAAAGTTTTCACTTAATTTTTTCTTCAGAAGATGATCAAGATTTTGATCCTAAAATATTCGGGAAGTTGTATTGGAGGCTGGAGGCAATAGTTTTATTTTTCATTTTCATTTTCAAAATATTAACTTGTAATAATTCAAGTATTTTGAATTCAATTACATTTTCTCTTTGCAGTGGTGGGCAATCTTTTAATTTCTTCTCATGCAAACCATGCAAATTTGCATGTTAGGCAGTGAACATTGGAGGGAAATGGAGATTAAACATTTTTTTTTTTTAATTCTTTTCAAGACAGGGTTTCTCTGTGTAGCTTTGCGCCTTTCCTGGATCTCCCTCTGTAGACCAGGCTGGCCTTGAACTCACAACGATCTGCCTGCCTCTGCCTCCCGAGTGCTGGGATTAAAGGTGTGCGCCACCACCGCCCAGCTAAACATTTTTTTGAAAGTGTGTATAATTGTAGATTGTATTGGTTTGCCTTTAAACATATATTTTTTTCTTTTGCCTTCTCTCTTGTTCTTTCTCCTCCTTGTCTCTCTCTTTCCCTGCCCTCACTTTATTTTCCAGAGAGTTATTTCACTCTAAACTGCAATGGCCTTTTTTATTAAACAAGTTGGAAGCACCGGCAAGTGACAGGAGAGAGAAGAAAGAAAAAGAGTTGAGGATGACTTGTGGGTTCCTCTCTGACTTCCAACTCACCCGTGGGCTGTATCTACATTATTTCAAGGCAGCGGATGGATTCAGGGAGATTCTCTTGCTCTCGCGGTTTTCCACGGCCACATTTTCTTCTCTTTGACTCTTCAAGAGTATTTGTAACAATTACACCAATTGTGTTTTCCAAAGGTGGGTGTTGAACCATGGAGCCTTGCACACACTTGGCAAGAACTCAGCCCCTGAACTGCGTCAGCCTGTTCCATTGTTGCTGATTGCTGCTGACCTAGTCAGCTATACACACTTCCTCTCTCTTGTTTCAACTCACCTATTTATAGACTGTGTTCTGGGGGCTCAAATGCTGGAATTTGTAGAGTTATAGAATTCAACTCGTCAAATATCTAATTATATTTAGCATAAGACTAACATGGTGACAGACTATTTTTTCTTCTGAATCTGTTCTTTTCCTTTGACTAAGCTAAAACAGAGAGTTTAATAGATTATAAGAACTGAAGTTTTATATGAAATTTATAGATTATGGGATGTACTAGTGCTTTTATACACTACCAAGGACACAATGGTGTTTATATTTATTTGTAATACAGTGCTTAATAATTACTTATACTATCAACCTTATCTTTTTTTAAATGCTCATTTAGGTTTTAATATTTTGTATGTCTCTTTAATATTTTGTTCATATAAAAATAAATTTATAAAAGTAATTTGGTTAAGATATTTCAAATTTCTTCTCCTTAGGACATTGACTTTCTTAAAATGTTACTTTTTAAATGTCTTTTTCCCTTGCTTTGATCAAATAACCGGACAGAAGTACTTTAAGGAGAAAGTATACAAAAGCGTACTCTGGCTCATGGTTCAGGGGTGCAACAGTCCAGCATGGTGAATCCAGGCGGTGGGAGCACAAAGCAGTCAGTCACATTGTAGTCCCTGTGAGGATGCAAAAACAAAAAACAAACAAAACAAAACAATAAAGCAATGAATAAATGCTTGCTGCTACTCAGCTTGCTTTCTCTACTTACATAGTTCAGGATCCCAGCCAGAGAATGATGCCACCTAGAGTGGGCAAATCTCAGTCCAATTAATGTCATCAAAATAATTCCCATAGGCATGCCCAGAGGCCTGTCTCCCAGGTGAGTCTAGATTCTATCAAGTTGACAGTAGTAACCATCATAATTCTAATCCTTGTTATCTTGACACCCAAATATATCACTTTCAAACTGTATTCTTCCCTTGTCCACCTAGGCTCATGAGCATGTTATAATGCATCAGTCCAACTTCAAAAATCCTCATTGTATTTAAAAATTTTAAGTTAAAATATTTTAACTATGAGTATCTTTCTTAGTCACGGCTCTATTGCTGTGAAGAGACACCAAGACAACTCTTATGAAAGAAAACATTTAATTGGGGATTGCTTACAGTTTCAGATGTTTAGTCCATTTTCATGATGGGGAGCATGACAACATGCAGGCAGGTGCTGGAACAGTAGCTGAGAGCTACATCCTGATATGTAGTCAGAGAGAGAGAGAGAGAGAGAGAGAGAGAGAGAGAGAGAGAGAGAGAGAGAGGAGACTTGGGCCTGGCATTGGCTTTTGAAACCTCAAAGCCCACTCCCAATGACATACTTTCTCCAACAAGGTCATATCTACTCCAACAAGGCCACACGTTCTAATCCTTGCAAATAGTCCCATTCTCTGTGGGGGGTGGGGATTCTTATTCAAACCACACCATACCTATAAAATATAATGATATAAAATAAAAATTCCATACCAAAACAGGAGATTCCAAGCATAGTAAGGGGTAATTGGGGTGAATCAATTCTAAAATCCATCAGCAAAAGACATCAAATCCTTGAGCTGTGTGTCTGGTATCTGGGGTTTGTAACAAAGTTGGTTAAAGGGCTTGAGTAGCCCATCAGTTCAACTCTGCTACCTGCAGCAGACATAGATTCTCTCTTGGGCTGGCTTACTCCATGTCCACAACTCTCTTTGGTGAACATAACACATTACTGGTATCTCAACCAGTATGGATTCCCTATTACAACCCAGACTTTACCCAGTGGCCTCCGGGGGCCTCCTTGTAGGGACTCCAGCCATATCACACATTGCCTAGCCTCAGTTGTTCTCTGAAACTATAGAACAAGACCCCATGACCTTCTTCAGTCTTGCATCTTTGATGCCTCCAAAACCATGATCCTGTGGATAACACTGCCAGTTTCTCAGAGCATTTCATCATGGAGCCTGGTTCCCATGGACTACAGTTACATCAGATTTTGTACACTGGAATTACAAAAATACTTTCCTATGTAGTTGCTTTAGAGGAGCATGGAAGGCCTTCAGTTTAGGCTTTCTTTCTTCAGATGAATTTGGACCTATGGAGTCTCTGGTAGGTGAGGTTTGGGCGTCAGGACACCTTTCCTGGTCTGCGATGAAACACAGGTGGTTTCTCTTTGGTGGTGCTGATCTCTTTTAACAATAACAATTGTTTTCTCAGCACTACCCTGACTGTTCTCTCATTTTGAAATTTTCTCTGCCAAATAAATTAGTCCATTACTTTAAAGTTCAACTTAACTCAAATTCTGAGGACTTAGGCAAAATGAAGTCAGATTTCTGGCCCAACTATCACATGTAGGTCACCTCTTCACATTCTTGACCCTCTGAAACCCTATGAACTGGAACCCAAAGTCTGTATTTCTCTCAGTCTTTTTGTATTCAGATTATTCTCCACAATGCACCATTAATCTCTGATTCTAGCATTCAAAGGCTTTTCCAGCTCAAATCTCTTCCATATTCTAGCCACAGAACTTTTCCAATAATCTAAAAAAAAATCATATAATCAGATTTATTCAGCAGTAGCTCTACTTTTCAGCACCAATTTCTATCTTAATTTTTTTCTTTCACTGCTGTGCTAAATACTCTGACAAAAAGAATTGGTTTACAGTTCAAGGGTATAGTCTAACATGGAAGAGAAATCTTGGCAGCTGATTACATTGCACCCATCAGCAGAAAGTAGACAGATTGGATGCATGCCACTGCCCTTTCTTTATTTCTGTAGTCTAGGATCCCATCACACCCCCAGTGTGCAGGTTCTCTGATCTCGGTTAATACAGTCAAGATAATCCCCTCCTCAACAGACAGCCAAGAGGTACATCTCCAAAGTGATTCCAGATTATGCAAAGCTGAAAATTAACACTAATGAAATTAGTAAAAAATTAACACTGTGTTATTGGTTTCCTGTCATAAGTTTTGGAATTTAAACTTCATTTTCTAATCTCTGAAACAACTTTATCAATATCAACTCTCTAATGGGACTGTTGTCAGTATTAAATAAAACCAGATATTCAAAGTGGTCCATTACCCCTGACACGTAATGTATCACCAAAGTCATTTGTGAATTTTGTTTTGTTCTTTTGTTTATTTCAAAGCAAAGACCTAGAAGTAATGAAAATAAGACTTTGTTGAAGAGAGTTGCAGAATAGTACAGAGAAAACAGCAGGTCAGTGAAACAAAACAGGAAAATGGGACACTACAAAAAGAACACCAGAAAAAAGAAAGAAAGAAAGAAAGAAAGAAAGAGAAGAAGAAAAGACACAGCAATAGGCAAAATGTAGTGATTTTAATGGGTAATCTAGACATAAGTAATAAAGGCTTTTATCCAGGTGTTACATGTATACAATTCACAACTTTATAAGAGAGGGAATAAGTCACTATTTATATTATAAACTGTTTTTGAGAAATAAATCATAATATCCAATGCTGACTTGTTTTAAGTATAGAATTTTCTCAAATACGTAGCTGATTTAAAAATATATTCCTCCTAAAATTTGTTTCAAATTCCTGGATTGTTTCCTAATCCCATTGTCTTTATAAAAATGTATATGAAGCAACTGTTTATATTTTCTTTAAAAAGCTATATTTAAATTAGAAATACAAATTCATATAAATAAACTTACTGCTGACTTTTGAGTGTGTGCCGTAGCACACACTCTAAAGTAAGGGCTAACTGATATTTTAAAAGATTTTTTAAAAATCCTCCATGGAAATAGATGGATGCTCACACTTCAAAAGCTGTAGAGGTCAATGGAAAGAACTTTATATTACTGTGAAGAAAATAAAGAGCAACATAATCCAGCATTTCTAAAATCACCCAATGAGTTCACTGCCCTTGTATTTTACTTAGATGAAATTTAGGAAAGTGTTTAAGTGTTTCAATTCCCTCTTATTCCATTTATGCCAGGAACCTGCCAGAACTCCCATATGGTCAAGGCTGCAGTGAGGACTGGACCTGCTCATCCTTTTCCTCACAGGTTCCTGCTTGCCCCGCCCCTCTCATTTTCCTGCTCACTTATCTTCTTGTTTGCTATTTGTGCTATTCTGCAATGATGGGCACTTCACTGCCAGATGCACGGCAACACTTCTCCACAAAGTTTACCAATGACAGCAAATATTACTGATGTAGTTGTTACAAAAACTCAGTCATTTCATTTCGCTGGGCTGTATTTGTTCCCCCACAGAACCCTGACTGATACTGAGATTGACAGTTACAGGGTTCTAGGTTCTAGTAAATGGGTTCTAGTATGCCCCTTGAATAGAGTATTTAAACATTTTTTTTGACTATCTGGATTTGGTTTGCTGATTCTGAAACTTAACTTCCTTAATGAAGCTATCCTAACTAGGGAAGGGGACAATAAATAAAAACTAAATGAAGGAAAAAGAAGAGCTCATGGCTTCATTCATTGAGGTAAAATTTAGAAATTTCCTTTAGGAAGATGGGGAAAAACAATCCTTAGCTTCTTTCAGTATATGACCAAGAATTCTTGAAATCAAATTTCCCATTTTATGGATTAGTAAAGTTAGAATTTGACATGTTCAAGGTGGGGGGTCAGGGATTGACACTGAAAACCAGGACAGGACTCAGGGGCGTATTTTCATTAATTTGTCACTTGTGCAGCTCTTGCTTCTGTGGATCCTGCTTCCTATGCCACAGAAGGATCTCTTCTACCCTGACTGGCTTCTCCCTTTCACCCCAAAGAACCTGTGCTGGCAGAGACCGCAGCAGCCACCTGCCAGACCTGGACAGGTTCAAGTCAGACAGGATCACCGCACTGAGAGGGGGAAGTTGACGTGGGCGCGTCACCCTAGCCAGGGAGCATACTGCGGGCGACATCTGCAAAACGAGTCTTCTCCAATGCAGCATCACTGGCATCACTGGGTATGTCAACCACATTCCATGGCAGGCGGTGCCTAGCAGTAGTTGGCCAACACAAAAAAGCCTCAGAGGTATTTTGGGGGACATCTTGTTTCATTTTGCTTTGTTTTGACATTTTTTTTTCTTACAGGTCTTTTGCTTGTTTGTTTTGAGTTTTGTTTTTGTGTTTTTCAGGTTTTGTGGTGGGTGTTTTTACTTCTTTTGTTGTTGTTTTGAAAGAGAAAAACACATTCGGGCGTGTAGGGAGGTGTGGAAGATCTTGGAGGAATGGGGGAAAATCATGATCAAAACAAATTGTATGAATCTTTTCCCAACAAAACAAAATAAAATAAAAAGAATCTGTGCTGTTTATCTATGAAAAACCACATTAAAGGCACTTTCATTGTTAGAACTGAAGAAAGAGAGTCAGATTTCAAGGAGGGAGAGTATGAGTTAAGAGTTCTGTGTGGTAGACATTGCCTTTATTATGGCTCTGTGGTATCTACGTGGAGACTCAAGTAGAAAGGTGATATATAAA